CCGCTAATTTACTCGAGCATGAAATACACCTTACTGTGCAACCAGAAAGAAATAAGTAGTAAATCGCTGTCCTGCAAATAATAGGAACAACGTGTGCTAGTGCAGTGCGAGACATACAACCATGTTGCCTGATGCGCGAGCCTTACTGCTGCTATTTGCCTTGACCCACCTTACTTAAAATCAGCACAAAGTGAAAACCATAAATCAAAAAAGTTTACAAAATATCACGCCTCAAAGTATTGCCCAGTAGTCTATCCATTAGCCAAGCAGGTTGAAATTTTAGGTTTTAAAGAGATATACGAGAGCAAATTTGTGCAATTTGCCGTAAGCTCACATGACTCACCTGAACAAGCTCGAAAGAAATTCGAACTAGCATCGAAATCGTAGGAAACGGACAGCGATCAAAATAAAGGATAGCATGTCAGCGCGAAGCAAGAATGAATATATTTTCTATTGACAGCCAAAATGGTAGCCACGAAAGCCTGTCGTAAAGCATGAAGTGGCTAAGCAACTGGGTAACTTTATCCTAAGACTGGCAGATATACTCATACTCTTCAAAACACATATGTATATGCCAAAGACAGCATGCCGACTACAAACTGGGCAAAAAGAGTAAACAGTACCGGCTATAGATAATCTGAAATGAGCGTTACTAAACGAGAGAGTTCATCTACTTGGCAGAACATTAAGCTTTAGCTGGCGTGCGGACTTAGATCCTCAAGCACATGAGTCACTGCAGTGGGATACTACGCGACTAATCGAAAGGGTACGGTCTATAATTTATAGCTGTGACGATGACAGTTAAGAAGAGGACATTCTTGGAAACGGATACTTCTTGCAGAAAGGTGGCCAATTCTCAATCTGGAATCTGTTCACTCTTCGCCAAGTCTCCAAAAGGAAGGACGAAGGCATATCTACATTCCATTTTTTCCATTTGGTTTGGTCTCAGAGCAATACCATGGTCCAATCACTATGAAAAGCAAAACTTATTACCTGCAAACAAGTACATAAAGTTAAACCACAGCCAGGATGAAAAGCTGCTCGAAAGACCCAAGATTCAATTTTTATACTTGTTTTAGTCAGGCATCATCAAGAGGCAGACAGCATATGGGCAGAAGTAAGCCGATGAACCAAATGACTGAACGACATACATGTTTCAATAGCTCACAAGCGTAATGGTAGGACATGAAGTCGGAATGAATGAAATATAAGTGAAATATCCATATTCTAATACTAAAGTGAGAGAAACGTCTTACTGAACACGCAGCAAATGATCATAGAAAGTGAAACCAAGTTTCGACTGGATTTGCCAACTCTTCTCAACCAAGCCATTTGGTCCAGTCGAAACCTGCTCTCATTTTCTGCAATCATTTGTTACGTGATAATAAACGTTTATCCTGCACTTACAGGGTTTCTACAGCAGCAAAGTTTTTCGTTTCACAAGAAACAGGGAACAAACAGTCCGTTTCCTGTAAGAATCTGAGATGGTGTGATGCCTCAACGTAATTATAACAGACGCTGTGTGACCATGAGTCACAGCACAAATCTCATCGCGTCACTGACTGACATACACCCTGACATCTCCCCCCACCATCTATCAGCTAACTTTGTCATTCGAGGTCAGCACAAGGTGAAGTCCGTAGATAAAAAAAGGGAAGAGTAAAAACTTACTTTTTCCATGTACTGTGACGAAGAACACGTCGCAAATAAGCTTGCGGCCTCTCTTTCGTAAAATTCGGTTGTCGTCTCCAGAAATTTACTTTCGAATCTCGATTCGTATACCTAACATATGATATTGAGAAAAGCGAGACAAGACGTTAAATAATCAAACAGTCAAAGAATGCCTATCACAAGATGCCGCTGATATTGAGCGCAATAATGCAGTAGCATGAAAATGCAGAATGTACCTTCTTTATCAAGAAATCCATTAAAAAATTCTTAATCTTTTGTGAGTGCATCTTTTATTAGTCAATTCGGTCAGTGAAATTTATCTACGTGAAGAAGATAAGTTGCCCAAACCATGAAAATAACAATGAATAATAAGTAAGCAATAAAATCAGCAGTGAAAGTGGATTCCTGTCAAGCTGATCAGAGTCTGATCTAAGTGGCAGTTCGTTTTTGGGATCAATTAGACACTGAACAGTGAACAGAACGACTAATCTTCTGGAAGCGTCAGTCTGATACCAATATAGAACGTAAAAAGACCGTGTGCTTGGCAGCTTGGAAAGGAACAGTTGGAAACACTGACAGAGCGGGTGAATTGGGTCGATTAGAACTACGAAGAGCAGTCGTTGTCTTGATCAAATACCTTGGATAGGATGGACGGAAACTCATCAGCACAGCCAAGTAGTTTCAAAAGGCTGCGGATGCGAGGCAGTTGCTTTCTTTGGAGACTGCTGCAGCGGAGACGAAAAGCGGCAGAATGTAGAATTTGGTGAAATCTTTCAACGCTTAAGCGTAGAGGCATAACTTCCTCAATCTGCACAACAATGAAACCGATCGCCGCACTTTACCATTGCATTCATTAGCTGTTCCCAGCTAAGTCTACTATCCACAATCAACCCCAAGTATTTAACCGTTTGTTAAAAACAAGTCATCATGGAACTGCGCAGCTGGTAAAGCAAGTTCCGTACAGACTCCGCTTGAACGTCCTACAAGAAGGAAATTCAGTTCACATATTTCTCTGGACTGTGTTAGGCCACTGCCGATCATCCAGTACCCCGCCCCTTGAATGGAGACCAAGAAACGCGCAATAACTCAGATCTGCAGTGTACTGAAGACAACAAAGCAATATCGTCAGCATAAACCATGTAGCATCAGGTAGGTGAAATCGCAAGGTGGAACAGTGTGGATGACAAACAGGATCACTGTGCGATCCCACGCGTCGTCAAGGATGTCTTCTTTCTGACCTATACAAATTGTCGGAAACTCGAGTAATACGTAACCAGCAGTTTGGCAATGTGAGACTCCACACCGATGTTGGCTGACAGTCTGAGAAACTAGTCTTGGCAGAGTGCTGCGTGCAGAATACAGTGATCCCCGCACATATCTGAATTGCCAAGGATTGATATGTTCCAACACCCTTTAATAAACCGACACCGAGACGACTCTGTTTAAGCATTTAAACGCAACTGGAGCGACTGCAATGTGTCTCCAGCCAGCTGCTGTAGAAAATTTCGATATGGCTCATTCGCACCATCTGCCATGAACCCTGCAATGCACTTTCTGATGGGCAGTGGTTGTATAGCGTAGCAACAATTTCAAAAAGTGAGTTTGCATCAAGTTTCAATTCAAGGAGTCTATGCTGTCTGATACCGTAGCTGTGGAAGCTTTGATCTGATTGAACTGTCCACATATGCTATCAGCCAAAATGATGTACGACGACATATCAATTTCGCTGTTCACAAGGAACGCTTCCAAATTGCTAAGCGGATCAGTGGCTGTTTCCTCCATTTTGAACAGCAGAAAATAGTTGTTCACGGTTTCAGGATCTGCATCCATGGCTCTGCTTCAGCTTCCGATTGCGCAATTAGTTAATCACGGCACATCTCTCCATCTCATTTGTACAGGCCAAGGTGGCAGCGAAGTGCTCGCGGTTGAGGAGAGCAAGTTCAGATGTTACTTATCTTCGCAGGCACTTAAACGCGGCATTCTTTGTTCTTGTGTCAAATCAAGTGTTTAATACCGCCCGATCGGCATCCAAGGTTCATGAGGCAAGGTTTATGCCGGGGGTGACACGTATCAAAGGTTAAGTTTATGCACGCCGATGCTAATTTTGTTTTGTTTCTGTCATGCTGAAAAATGAGATTCACCGGCGATTTCATTCAAACAGTAAAATATTTATTAATTCAAAGTGATTACCGTGGGAGAATATTTCGACTTATATCCCTCGACTTCAACGAAAGAAAGAATTACGCCTTGGACGACGGTCTGTCGCACTGGTATACCATGCCGATCTCTAAAACAGTTAGGTCACCAAATAGTTTGAAACAGAGCCAATTTGTTTTAAATTGCGACTGAAGTGGAATCGTTATAAAGTCGATTCGTTTATAAAGAACAGTGCGATCGTGCCATAAAACGAAGCGTTTTCCTACTTCCGGCAATACAGTGTAATGTAGCTAAATACACCGCTGACCACCAGCAATGGCTGCTCAATCGGCCGAGCTTTGGATTGGCGTGAATTTGATTTCATGTCATGTAAAGGAGACTGACAGTTACGCAGTTCCTTCTAACTTCCGCATAACTAATATTCTCCAAACAGCGAAGTCCCCATCTGATGACGAATTAACCCGTCTTTTCATAAAAATTACTGACGTCATTTGAACGTTTAAACGTAAAACAAAATCAAATTCTCAAAGAATCGAGAATAAGCCATGATTAATTGTTGTAACTCAACAGGGCAATGCATTGAGATACACTACTCTTAGGTTGAAAAGCAATTTGTCTAAGACTATAAAAAGATGCCACCGACATCTTTAGCAACAGTTTCGCAAGAATGTACACAGAATGAACAGAGAAAAGAATAAAACAGATAAACATAAAGATGATGCAACGAAATGTGAGACTTTGAGGACTGTGATGAAGACTGTAGAACTGTAGGCTTCTAAGGTCATCCATAACTTTAATTCTTTCAAACCTGCCGAGAGCCCATTCATGTGGCCAGGTACTCGTGTCTGTTGCATATTTTTTCGTCTGCTACATGATGCGATACTACGAAAGACAAACGATGCAGAACAGATTATATCACGTTGCCATTCGAGTTTAAATGTTGCTTCTACATCATCGCCATGATCCGCGAAAACAGCTTCTGTACGACAAAAACCACTTCTAAGGACTAATTATCGCCTGGGTTTATCAAAATACGACAGAAATTTGTGAAATGGCACAGTACTTTCTCTACCTACCTAAACATGACCTACAGCAGAGTTTCTCTTCAATAAAACGTGGCCGTTGCATAGTATCATGGATATGTCTATCAAATTTGGAATCACTGATCATCACTAAATATGCGAGGTGACGCGGGAGCTAAATCACACGGTGCTAAGAACGAGCCGATTAACAGTGGAAAGCTACCTATCTTCAAGTCCATACACCTACTCACAATCGTCTATGATCAGG